CCTGGTGGTGCAGTGGGTTAAAGCACAGCACTAAGAAGCTTAAGCCACTTCTACAGGAGTTCGATCCCTGCCTACCCTGGAGGTGACCACATGGCGTGGCAGACCTCTCCTGTCTCACCTGCTGCTCCCCTCAGCAGTATACTTCATCAATCTGCCTGTTCTGTTCCCCACTGTCTCTGGTGAGTCCTCTCACCGCCCCTCCTCCTCTGGCCTGTGTGTATAATAAATAAGTTCTGTGTGTATAAATAAATAAATCTTAAAAAAAAAAGTTGGCATGTAAAATATTCTGAAATCAGCATTATCTTTGCCCACTTCTTTTTCATAGTTGTTATCTGGCTCTCCTTTGGAAAGGAAATGAATTTAATCCTAACATCAATTGTTAGAATTTTCCTACAGCAAAATATGTCCCCCCCAATATTAGTCTGTTAAAGTTTATATCTATAGTTCTGTTTCTGTTAAAGAAGGACAATAACTAGGTTATAGTCTTCATAACTTTATCTTGTTGCTATGTGGTGAAGCTGTTCACATATTTTCAGTTATATTCCTCCTTTTTAAAGTCAATTACTGAATCTTCACAAAGGAAAATCAAATTATATGTGAAACTTCTCAGTTTGGGGGTATCAACTACCCCAAAGTTAGAACTGTAGTTCCATTATAATAGAAAGATCTATTTTTTACATTTCAGATGTTTGACTAATGTGTTTTTTGTTCTTTAAAATACAAGGATAAAAGGCTTGAAAGCATATTACTGCCAACACCATTTTCTAAAAATCAACAAACTTTATAGTTTCTTATAAAGAATGTGACCCGAGGCAAGGCTTTGCACTGATATTTACAAGGATATTAATTCCCAAAGCTCTGTGTGATTTGAATACCATTTGTTCTCATTTGTCTTCCCTTCTTTTCCCCAAGAGAAATCTCAGTTGCTTTTCAAGTTTCTTCTCTGTATTCCAGATAAAAGAGGATAAATCACAATAAAATTAATGTTCTAAATTTAATGATTTAAGTTTAGCAAGTTTTGGCTTATTTTTTCTTAGAAAAACTTAAATTACTTTTCCTCAAGTTAATTCCATATCTCTGTAAGAAAAACAGCTAAGCCTAGTACAATATTAGTGGGTGATTAATTTATTTCAAAATGAACTTTCTTGTTTTCAAAATTATCACAAATATGAAAGGGGTATTTTTAAAGATTTTATTTTTTTAATCCAAGTTGGTTTTAACAGGACCACAGTCTTTTATTTAAAAAAAAAATATTTATTTATTCATAAAGAACTGGGGTACAGACCAGAGGTACAGGGGCAGTGAAAGGATTCATTAGAGACAAAGTGGGAGCCGAACAGTCAGACAGACAACGTACACTGCTGAGGGGAGCAGTGGGTGGATCAGGAGAGGTCTGCCGTGCCATGTGGATCACCACTGGGGCTGGGGATCGAACTTGCATTGAAGTGGCTGGGGCTTGCTTGCAGTGCTGTGCCTTAACCCTTTGCGCCACCAGGGAGGGCCAGGGCCACAGTCTTAATGCTCTTGATATCAGTGACTGTGGGAAGTTATTAGAAATGGCTGGAGGGGGAATTAATAAGTGTATCTTGCACTATTTTATGAAATTTTGGAAATCTCATATTTATGATATAATAAAATGTTCTCCAAGACAACACAGAAAACAAAATATGCTCTTTAGACTAGGTGTTAAGAAATATAATCTACAGTCTTTCATATTTAACTTAATAAACATTTTTGCCATTAATTTAATAAAGAATTCACTAGAAACTTTGAAAATGAAAACACTTTCATGGTACTGCCCCCCACCCATGCCTAGAACAATGCCCAATGTCAAATGAAGGGAAAAGTAAATATTTGATTTCTTCCCAGGCTAGTTGTTCTACATTAGCATTCTCTTGGATCCCCAAACAATGTTAAAAAAAATCATTTAAGTCAGCCCAGAGCAAACCTCTAGAGAAACAGATACCAGCTTCCAATCCAGGGGAAAAAGAAAGATTCTTTTCTTTAACAAAGATGCTACATGACCCTATGGAGTCATCTGTATCAGATTCCATTCCAAAGGGTGGGAAGGGAGGGTCCTGGTTAGGGAATCAATGGAGTGTGAGTCAGAAGTTAGGATCCTCCACCCCTGAGACAAATGGAGAAAGAGTCAAGGCACTCCCTAAAGATCTCTGAGAACAAAAGAAAGGGAGAGGCAGGAAATCAGAAAGGGTCAACTCCAAGTCTCATTGAGAATATAGGTACTTTGATTCTGGCCAGATAACCAAGAATATAGTCTGCCTCTCATCTTGTAAGTAAGTAAGTAAGTAAGTAAGTAAATAAATAAATAAATAAATAAATACAGTAAATCCCTTCCTAATATTATATCAGAAATCCATTTCTTTGCCCTTCTAAATATCTGTGTATTGAAAATGTATCAGGCTTTTAAGGTATCCTTTATAATGTCAAGCAATATTTTCGTGTTACATGTGTAGTGTTCCATTTTTAAAAGAAGTCACCCTCAAATAATATTTATGCAGTAAAATATTAAAAAGTCCACTTGGTTGTAGACGCTGGCTCATTCCACAGGAGGTTCAGACACTCAGTGAAAAGACAAGGCATTTACCCTTACGTTCCCAGTAGAACAGGGGTGTTGGGAGTGACCAAAGATTTACTGACAAGGACTGAATTAGGGTGGTAATGAATTGAGCCTTGCATCCAAGCTTGATAAGGTGGTAATAAACTGACCTTGTATCCAGGATGGGACTAGCTGAAGGTGATAACGAACTGGGCCTCACATCAAGGCAATGAGTCACCCCTTTGAAATCTGAGCTTAGGACTTATATAGGAGACCCTTCCCCTTACTGAGTTGGCAGTAGTTGCGGACCCCACCTAGGGGCGGTGGGGCTCCATCTCAGCTGCTGCCGGAGAGCAATAAACTCTGCTTGCTCAGCCTTTCTGCCTCCCGTTTTTCTTTCTTGAGGCCGATCACAGAAGTTGGGACAAAACAAGGGGAACATAAGCAGTTGAACCACCAAGGCCAATATAATGTCTAAAAACTATGATCCATGTACAGGATGGAAATTTCTATGTAAGATTTTTTTTTCCAGAAAACTCAGACATACACAGTGACAAAAAAAATCGCTATACTGAGAGTGGGACAAATAAATTGTAAATGAGAATCATATATTAACTGAAAAAGAATGACTAAAAAGAAAATGGAGATTATTAGTAGAAAATATTATCATATTTAGACATTTAGTAGAAGAGAAAAATATTCAAAGGCTGTCTATAGAATCTATTTTATATTATATTAGTATATAATTACAATAGAGTTATGCATGAAAAAAAAACAAGATTGAATACATGTATATGAATGTCAAACTGAGTTCCTTATCCTACCCCCCATTATGCTATACTATATACAATTCTGATTCAAATATTCACCCAAAAGTGAGACAAATCAAAGTACTAAACTTCAAATACTATTTTGACTAATTTGTACATATGGGTATAAGCATTCATTCATTCATCCATCATAAATTAAACAAAATCTATATGCCCAGGATTGTACTAGGGTATTCAAGGATGGAGAATATCAGACATGGTCCTTCAAGGTGAAGCCTAAACTGCTCTGTGATGGAGAAATGCAATGAGATATGACCTAGCCCAGAAGACAAAGTTCTCTGAGGAGGTGGTATTCAAGATGAGAATCTAAGAGTGAGTGTTTTAAAATAGGTTTAGGAAGAATGAAATGACAGCAGAATGAAGAGCAAGAACTTCTGCAAGAACAGCATGCACATGCTCATGGGATCATTAAGAAATGAGGTTTTTCCTTTTGAACAAAAAGGCAATGAACAAAGAATAAAATAGAAGTATTTTTGAGGCTCTCCTTGGTGGTGCAACAGGTTAGGATGCAACACTGCAAGCTAGCCACAGCTGCTTCAGTGCGAGTTCGATCCCCTGCCATAGAGGTGATCCACATGGAGTGGTAGACGGAGTGGTAGACCTCTTCTGTTTTGCCCGCTGCTCCTGTTGGCGTGTCTTCATCGATCTACCTGTTCTGCTCCCCACTCTCTCTGGTGAAGCCTCTCACTCCCCCTGCACCTGTGGCTTGTACCCCAGTTCTGTATGAATAAATAAATCTTTAAAAAAAAATAGGAGTGTTTTTGAAATGACAGGACTGTGAACTAGCTTAAAATGCAAGAAAAGTGAGATGAGATGATCTAGGAGACAGGTTGGGGCTAATAGACTAGAGAATTTGATGAAGGTGAAGTAGCAGGTACAGTGTAAGAAGGTGCACAAAAAGCTTAATGGACAGATGCTTCTTCCTGGAGACTAAGGTGCTAGAATTAAAACAATGTGAGCACTGGAGTGGACTGAGATGGCAATAAGGATAAAGTCCAGAGGTTGTCTGACTTGCAGCAAGGAAATAAGGGGAGAAGATTCTAACTAGACCATTTCTATACAAGGAGAAGAACATATTTAAACCATGTCCAACAAGTAAGTGTCTTTGTTTTAATGAATGGATTTAAGACTAATGATCTGAAAGCAGCACAGTAGAGAAAGTTCATCTACAAGTGTATCGTCAAGTCCTATTTTCAAAGTAACATTTAACCAATGTTATTCATCTTCTCTGATAACCAAATTATACCTAAAAAGATTGTATAAAGGGCCTCACTGGTGGCCTAGGGGGTAAGGCTTAGCACTATCACCACAATAGCCTGAGTTTGATCCCTGGCCAGGATGCTGACACATTCTCACCCACTGCTTTTTCACCTCTCCTTTCTCACCCAATGCTCCCCTTTGCAACATATTTAATAAATCAATCTGTTCTTCCCCCTACTGTGTCCCTGATGACAGGGTAGGGAATTCTAAGCAAAAAAAAAATAAAAATTGTATATAAAAGCTATTGCTCCATTCATTCAGGACTCGGTTGAGAAAAAAAAAGTAGTACTGGAACTTAAAAACTGATAATTCAGATTCTACTCCTAAAAGAAATAAAATTGAAAAGCACTCACCTGAACATACAGTTCTCTGAGTTCAAATTGAAATTTTTTGGGATCTGTGGTAATTGTCACTGGGCCAATTTCTGTGAAGACAAAGATAACTTAGGTCAATAAATAATTATCAATAACAGCAAAAACTTTAATTTTCTTTGTTTGCAAATGTCTTTTCACTATGTACTCCATGGTTACTTATAATAAAAAATAGGAAAAGAACAAAAATATTTTCTCAGTTTATAACTACCAGTCACCAAAGAATAACTTACAATTTACTATAAAACAGGCATATCTAAAAGGGTATTTTCAGCCTGGAGAAATGCAAAGAGGTAGTCAAAAATATCATGTGACAAAGAGGCAGGAAGTTTTAGTCCCTTTTGACTGTCACTGATTACGGAGTATTTATTGAGCACTTACTTTGCTTTGGACTTTAATCACTTATTTGGCCTGTATTTCTGTTTTCCCAACTCTAAGTGCTTATTAGGTCTGCAACTTTTCTGTAAGTTAAGTTAACTCAAAATGAAAAGTTTAAAACTATAGAAAAAGAAAAAATACTCATTTTTAAGAACGTGCAAAAGCACAGACATACAAACGTTAAAAGTTCACAAAATCATCCATTTCCTTTTCTTCCCCATGGCTGGGGTGTTTGCATCATTGTAAATGTCCTCCTGTACTGGTTTGAATAAAAAATGATAGTTTAACCCCCTAAAAAAAAGCACTCTCCTAAAAAAAAAAAAAAACCCTTCAAAATAAATAAGCACAAGTGTCACAGCACATGAATCCATTACTTTCCTAGGTAAAGCTACATATTTTAGTAATAGTATTAGAATTTACCTGAGTATTATGTGTGTGGACATATTATTTTACATTCCCAAGGTGAATAAAGTTTTCTGTTTAATCTAGTAAAGATATAAACTGTATTCAAAACCAAAATATACAAGTACATACAAAATAGTTAAGATACTTAATATTAGCTCTTATAAAACATTTTTCTAGTTTCAAAGGCATTTTGCCAGAAAAGAATTCAGTGATTTCAATGGAAAAAATTAATTAGCCAAGCCTTTCATTATGTGCTAAATGTGATACAAAACAGACTATAGGATTTTAGAAATAAATGAGGTAAATAGAAAGGCAGAAAAATTTGTCTGCCATAACCAATGTCATTTTGCTGAGAACATACATGGAAAAATGCCTCCATCCTTCACTATCAATTAGACACCTTGCAGTATACCTTGCAGTATGCAGAAGGAATGGAGAGGCTGTTGGGGAAATTATGTGAAAATTCAAACATCTGCATTCCATACAAAACAGAACAGTCATTAGCTATGTAAAAGTCATGTCCCATGTATATGGAAAATCGGGAAGCCTACTCCCTCAAGATTTAACAAAGGCCTACTTTTTGCAAAATAATGCAAAACAGAAAAGAAAATGCCAGTTACATGCTGACATACAAATTGTCAACAGCATTGTCAAATCCAGTTTCTATGTCCATACATGGAATGATAGTTTAATAATCCTAGAGTTTAAATGTGAATATGCAAAAAGAACATAAAGAATATTCCCTATGTAATTAAAAAATAATAATAAGCCTAGATATATGCTTGTAATTCAAGAGTAGAGACAAGGAGATGCTATTAAAATAAGAAGCAGGAAGGGAGGGAGGAGCAGATGGGACTGAGGTGATGGTGCACTGGTGAATTTGGGGAGGAAATTCTAAGGGGTCTCCACCTGAGGGAGGAAAATAGCAAACATTGTTTAAAAATGAACAATGTTGTAAAATATATATAAATATATCAAATTAATTAATAATGCAAAAGTAAATGAAATAAGAGGAGTGGTTAACCTTCACTTAATTAGCCAGAGACTCCAAAATCTTTGTTGTCAACAAAGATGGGAAACTCTCTTGAATTTCATTAATAAACATTTTTGCAAACTACACTGGACAGCTAAGATAAATCTATTATTAGTTATGAGATATCATCAAGAGACACAGTCGCTTGCTGACTATATCCCTACAACTATAATCATTCTTTCCAACTCTTGAGTTGAATGATGACTATTTTGAAAAATCAGCCTGTTCCCTTTCAAGACAAACTCCCTCTGTCTTTCTCTTCACCTAAAGGAACTCTGTGCCAACTGTATCATGAGCAATTTCCTCTTCTCTTCCTTTTGCTCATGTTGGTTTCATCCCCTGCCAAGTCTTTGATGATACTCAGCAGGTACAACTGCATGTGCCAGCCTGAACATGGTCCTTAGAGAATTAAATGGGAAGTCTCCAAGGCCCTCTTTTCTATCAATCCCATGTTCAGCCTTAGGCGATACTCCCAGCATGAAGCTGCCTCACTTTCCCCACTGTCCAACTACCTATGCCCCTCTTCCTCTCCAAAGCCTGATTAAGTCTTGTTTCCTTCAATGTTTTGCCTTTTCTCCAACTTGCTTTAGTGTTGTTGTGAACATTAACGTATAATAAAAGTGTATACGATTTTTGACACAGAGCTCATCGATGCTGAGCTTATTCATTTAATTCTATTTAATTGTTTACAAAGAAAATCCACCAAAAATAAATATAAAAACAAAACATCAATCTCCAAATAGAATAAAACTACAAGAGGCATAACGGTCACTTGGGTCAATCTCCTTTCCTCCACTCTTGCTTGGTAGAGTGGCAAAATCACTTTGATGGAGAAGTATGGTCAGTTTCCCTGACAACCCCTGGGCAGCACACTAACAGTACCTCATTTCCAGATCTCCACCCTATCAAAGATTCTATCACTGCTAAATTTCTTCTTTTCTCTTTTGGACCACAGCAGGCACACAAAATCAGGAAATTCTATTTTGTCTCATGCGTGAAAATTATGTTTAACAGACAAAGGAAAATTATCTCTTTTGCCTAGCAGGTACTGTAATTGAACACACAGAGAAACACCTCTGGAAAGTTTCTATTTAAGTCTATTTTAACAATTAGACATTGAGTGGAGCCCTCTCTGGTGCAATGGGTGAAAATACATTAGCACCTATTTCAGTGTGAATTCAATCCAGGGAGGTGACCCACCCGTAGAAGACCTCTCCTCTCATGTCCACTGCTCCCTCAGCAGAGTACTTCATCGATCTGTTTATCCTGCCCCCCACTCTATCTCTGGTGAATCCTCTCATGGCCCCTGCACCTCTGACCTGTACCCCAGTTCTGTATGCATGAATAAATCCTTAAAAAAAAAAAAAGACACTGAGCACCTGCTCTATACTGATGCTCCAATAACATAGAAGACGAACAAACATGAATTCTACCCTTTAAAGTCTTGATGGTATAGTGAAGAAGATAAAACTGTAAATATTGCATTGCAGTACAATGCAGTTTGTATAGAAATAGAAGCACAGAAACAGAAATAGAAAAGATAGTGAGTGGGTATACTTACATAGAGGGCTTTTTTTTTTTTTTTTTCCCAGAAAGAACTAAGGTAGATTTCGCAACAGGTGAAAATTTGGGATTTTAAACTCGAGAGAACAAATAAATCTTTATTAAAGCTAATTCCTTTTTAATTCCATATACCAATACTCCCATATTCTATTAAATTACCCTTACTGCTATAAATATACTTGTAGTATTTTTATAACTCGTAACACTTTGTAAAGCATAGTGAATGAATACCAGCCTCACCACAACCACATAAAGAAAAACAAAAGAGATACACAGACAGTGGGAGATCAGATTAGTCAGGGTGCCCAGTCCCTGAGAGAGCTCCTACACTCTCTGGTGGGGCGGGGGTGTGTTGGAGAGTGGGAGTGGGCACAGGAAGGCATCTACTCCATGATATGGCAACTATCATCACTCTTGTGTCTGCCTCAGTGACTGCCAGCACAACAAGGTAAAAAAATGAGAAAAATAAAATAAAGATTAAACCTTTGAGAATAAAGTTTAAATCCTTCAGATCATTTATTTCTTCTTTTCCTCAAACCACAAAGTCACCATGCCATCGCTAAGGACTATGCTACAAAAACAGCCTTCTTTAACCAAAAGATTTGTTCTTTAATCAAGATATTTTTGCACATAGTCAAAATATCATTTTCTACGTAATGTCTTATTTTTAAAAACAAATGAAATATGAAGGTAAACTATGTTGTTACAAATATAAGCCACATGCTAAGCACCAGAAGATCATTTTTTATTAATATATAAAATGACATCTGAAACTCTAAGAAAGTCTTTCTTTTCTCATTAATTTTGTTATTTCCTGTTTCCAGGGATTTATCAGATGGGTAGGATTTATTTCCAGCATCTCAGCCATTGTTCTCTTAATCTGGGTTGCTAGATTGTATTTGAGAAAATAATGGAAAGAAGTTCACAATGTAATATTTTCTTTCCCTGCTTCACTTGGCAAGATTGATATACGGTTCCGCACTTCCTTTTTCCTTTCCACTTACAGAGCTCCTTACAGCTTTTCTTTACTCAAAATGGTTCCTTGATAATAAGGAATATTTATTGCTGCCTGATGGAATCCCAGTACTGCCTGTCCATGATTTGATATCAGTGTTCACAATTTGTCTATTTAAAAATTATACAGTTCTTAACATTATATTGTAATTACACATAAATACTAGAAAATAAAGCAAAACCTCTAACTAGTACTATAAGCCAATCAATCTGTGCAAGGCATTATAAAGGAATCAACGAAATAAAGAAGTACATAAATCACAGGACCTGCCATCAAGAAATTTAAACACAGTGGAAAACATTAAAAACAGCAAGTTGGGCCCTTCCTGGTGGTGCAGCGGGTTAAAACACAACACTAAGAAGCTAAAGCCACTTTAGCATGAGTTCGATCCCTACCCTGAAGATGACCCACATGGTGCGGCAGACCTCTCCTGACCCACCCACTGTTCCCCTTAGCACTATACTTCATGAGTCAGCCTATTCTGCTCCCCATTCTGTTTCTGGTGAATCCTCTCACCACCCCTGCACCTCTGGCCTGTACCCCAATTCTGTATGCATAAATAAATGCATCTTTAAAAAAAAAAAGCAAACCATGAAAAGTTGAAAAGAAAGCACCAGCATCAGAGAAAGGACAGGTGATACAAATGTGTAGAGACAGCA